CTGTTTATAAACAGAAATTGTGCTGGGCACACACTTCCCCAGTCGGTGCCTCGGTTTCCCCATCCGTAGAGAGGGGACAAGGACACTGGCCTTTGTAGAGCACTTTGCGATCCGCCCACGGCCACTGTTAGAGAAGGGCTGGGCTGTTAGTCCAACCACACAGGGAATGCTATTGTTCTCCCGAGCCCTCAGGATCTCCAAGGGGGTCTAGACCCCACCCCTCCCCCCGCCAGGATCTCTGAGCAGGTTCTAAATCACTCCTCCTTCCTTCTACTTCTCATGTACTCCCCCTCCCCCTCGGCTCTGTCCCATGGTGAGGGCGTGGCCGGCACAGCTCGCTCACCTCTCCCATGCTGGGCTCGTATGCCTTGAACACCTTGAGTTTGGCCAGTACAGCATGCGCCAGGTGGAAGTTAATTTCACGGTCCCTGCAGCAAAGACAAACCCTGTGGGTAGAAACAGGTCCTCCCACAGGGGCACACGCACTTCCTGTAGGAGATGACCAGGTAACCGTCTCCCTCTGGGCACACTCACTTCCTGTAGCGGATGGCTGAGTACCTCCCCATGGCACACTCAATTCCTATAAGGGATAACTGGGTACCCCTCCTCCCAGGCACACTCACTTCCTCTAGTGGATGGCCGAGTACCCCTCCCCCCGGGCACACTCACTTCCTGTAGCGGATGGCCGGGTACCCCACCCCCGGGCACACTCACTTCCTGTAGCGGATGGCCGGGTACCCCTCCCCCGGGCACACTCACTTCCTGTAGCGGATGGCTGGGTACCCCTCCCCCGGGCACACTCACTTCCTGTAGCGGATGGCCGGGTACCCCTCCCCCCGGGCAGACTCACTTCCTGTAGCGGGTGGCTGGGTACCCCTCCCCCCGGGCACACTCACTTCCTGTAGTGGATGGCAGGTACCCTCCCCCGGGCACACTCACTTCCTGTAGTGGATGGCCGGTACCCCTCCCCCGGGCACACTCACTTCCTGTAGTGGATGGCCGGTACCCCTCCCCCGGGCACACTCACTTCCTGTAGCGGATGGCTGGGTACACCTCCCCCCGGGCA